ATTTATATTTTCATTATAAGAGTTATTTATAAATTCTAGATATGTCTCTTATCAGATATATAATTTACACATATTCTCTCCCATTCTAAGGGCTGTCTTTTCACTTTCTTGAAGTTAACCTTTGAAACACAAAAGTTTTTCGTTTTTATGAATTCCAATTTATTTATTTTTTTCTCTTGTTGCTTTTCTTTTGTTGCTTTAGGTGTTATATTTAAGTAATCATTGCCTGACCCAAAGTCAAAAAAATTTATTCCTATGTTTTCTTCCAGGAGTTTTATAGATTTAGCCTTAACATTTAGATCTTTCATACATTTTGAGTTAATTTTTGTGTATACTATGACGCAGGGGTTCAACTTCATTCTTTTGCATGTGGATACCAAGTTGTCCCAGCACCATTTGTTGAAAAGACTTCTCTTTCTCCATTGAATTGTCTTGGCATCCTTGTTGAAAATCAGTTGACCATAAATATGAGTTTATTTCTGGACTCTCAATTGTATTCCATTCATCTGTATTTCTATTCTTATGCCAGTACCCCACAGTCTTGATTACTGTAGTTGTGAAGTAAGTTTTGAAGTCGGGAAACGTGGGTTCTTCGACTGTTCTCTTTTTCAAGATTTGGGCAGGGAGGCCTACTCTTGATCCTTTGTGTTTCCATATAAATTTTAGGATCATCCTGTCAATTTCTGCAAGAAGGCCACCTGGGATTTTGATGGGGATTACATTAAATTTTTAGATCAATTTGAGGAATATTTCCATCTGAATATATTAAATCTAATCCATGAACATAAGATGTCTTTTCATTTATTTAGATCTTTAATGTCCTTCATCAGTGTTTGGTAGTTTTCCATGTACAATTCTTACACTTAATTTCCTAATTTTTTTCCTAAATACTTTATTCTTTTTGATGATATTGTAAATGGAATTGTTTACTTAATTTAACTTTTGGATTATTCATTGCCAGTGTATAGAAATACAGTTGATTTTTTTTCACATCTTTATTGGAGTATAATTGCTTCACAATGTTGCGTTAGTTTCCACTGTACCACAAAGTGAATCCGCTATATGTATACATATCTCCCCATATCCCCTGCCTCTTGAGCCTCCCTCCCACCCTCCCTATCCCACCCCTCTAGGTCATCACAGAGCATTGAGTTGATCTCCCTGTGCTATGCAGAAGCTTCCCACTAGCCATCCATTTTACATTCAGTAGGGTATGTATGTCAGTGTTACTCTCTCACTTTGTCCCAGCTTCCCCTTCCCCACCTGTGTCCTCAAGTCCATTCTCTATGTCTCTGTCTTTATTCCTGCCCTGCCACTAGGTTCAGGTTCATCAGTAGGGTTTTTTTGTATTCCATACATATGCATTAGCATACAGTATTTGTTTTTCTCTTTCTGACTTACTTCACTCTGTATGACAGACTCTAGGTCCATCCACCTCACTACAAATAACTCAGTTTCACTCCTTTTTATGGCTGAGTAATACTCCATTGTATATATGTACCACATCTTCTTTATCCATTCATCTGTCGATGGACACTTAGGTTGCTTCCGTGTCCTGGCTATTGTAAATAGTGCTGCAATGAACATTGTGGTACATGTCTCTTTTTGAATTATGGTTTTCTCAGGGTAGATGCCCAGTAGTGGGATTGCTGGGTCATATGGTAATTCTGTTTTTAGTTTTTTAAGGAATCTCCATATTAGCTGTATCAATTTACATTCCCACCAACAGTTCAGGAGGGTTCCCTTTTCTCTACACCCTCTCCATTTATTGTTTCTAGATTTTTTGATGATGGCCATTCTGACCGGTGTGAGGTGATACCTCATTGTGGTTTTGATTTGCTTTTCTCTAATGGTTAGTGATATTGAGCACCTTTTCATGTGTTTGCTGGCCATCTGTACATCTTCTTTGGAGAAATGTCTGTTTAGGTTACAACTGATTTTTTATATTGATCTTATATCCTGCAATCTTGCTGAACTGGTATATTAGTTCTAATAGTTTTTCTGTGGATTCCTTAGCCTTTCCTACATACAAGATTATGTCACCTGTGAATAGAGATAATTTTACCTCTTTTCCAATCTGCGTGTTCTTATTTCTTTTCCTTTCATGATTTCCCTGGCTAGGTCCTCCAGTACAATGTAGACTAGAAGTGACAAGAATGGAAATCATTGTCTTGTTCCTGATCTTCGTGGGGAAAAATCTAGTCTTTTGCCATTAAGTATAATTTAGCTCTTGGTTTTTCATAGGTGACCTTTATCAGGATGAGGATGATCCCTTCTTTTCCCAGTTTGTTCAGTGTTTTTATTATGAAAAGTATTGGATTTGCTGGAATGCTTTTTCCGCATCTGTTGAGCTGACCATGTGAGGTTTTCTCACTCTTTATTTTGTTTACGTGGTGTATTACATTGATTGATTTTCAGATGTTAAACCAACCTTGCATTCCTGGGATAAATCCAAATTTGTTGTGATGTGTAATCCTTTTCATATGTTGCTGGATTCAGCTTGCTAGTATTTTGTGAGGATTTTTGTGCCTAGTAATAAGGGATATTAGTCTATAGTTTTCTTGTAATGTCTTTCTCTTGTTTTGATATATAGGTAATATTGGCCTGTCATAGGTTTCAAGTTGGTAAGTGTTCCCTCCCTTTCTATTTTTTGGAAGAGTTGGTGAATGATTGGTTTTAATACTTCTTTAAATGTTTGGTAGAATTCATCAGTGAAGCCATATGGTCCTGGACTTTTCTTTGTGGGGATTTTGTAAATTATTAATTCAGTATCTTTACTTGTTACAGGTACCTATACAGTTTTGCCTCTTTTAGCCCTAAATATTTATTCCTTTAGTCATCCAAGAAATACTTATTGAGCGTCAATTAAATATAGGCCCTGATTTTTGACATAGAGGGTACAGCAATTAGTAAAACAAAAGTCCTGGCCCTCTTAGAGTTTAGCACTCTCATACTCTTTCTCTGTCTCATTCTCATGCTGTCTATATATTCATATTTCTTATTTATATGTAATGTAGCTCTGTTCCTTGTAAAAGAATATTGCTGAGCTTCCCTGGTGGTGCAGTGGTTGAGCGTCTGCCTGCTGATGCAGGGGACACAGGTTCGTGCCCCGGTCTGGGAAGATCCCACATGCCGTGGAGCGGCTAGGCCCATGAGCAATGGCCGCTGAGCCTGCACGTCCAGAGCCTGGGCTCCGCAACGGGAGAGGCCACAACAGTGAGAGGCCCACGTACTACAAAAAAAAAAAAAAGAATATTGCTACATGCCATTGATGGAGAAAGGGCGTCCTTAGGTTTGCTTATATATTGTCATAGTTTGTGTAAACTCTTGGGTGTTCTTGAAGAGAGTTGCATATGTGGGAAATGGAGTATATTGTTGTTACAATCACAGTTTGTATGGTGCTTCCCCTTGGCATTGCTACAAGGACATGATTTTTAATAAAACAAGCCACGATCTTTATTCATTATCATCCTCAAGACCATCTGATATCTTCTGTTCTGTCTAATCATCAGTAGAAGCATAGTTCCCTAGGGCTGCTATAACAAAGTACCACAAAGTGGGTGGCTTAAAACAAGAGAAATTTATTCTCCTGTAGTTCTGGCAGCTTGGAGGCGAATTAAGGTGTTAGCAAGGTCACGTTCCCTCTGAGATTCTAGGTAGAATCCTTCCTTATTTCTTCCTAGCATCTGGTGGTGGCCATCAATCCTTAGCATCCCTGGCTTGCAACTGCATTACTCCAGTCTCTGCCTCTGTCATCACATGGTGTTCTCCCTGTGTGTCTGTCTTTATATCACATTTTCCCCTTCTTATAGGGACACCAGCCATATTGGATTGAGGCCCACCCTAATGACCTCATCTTAACTTGATTACCTCTACAAAGACTCTATTTCCGAATAAGGTCACATTCACAGGTACCAGAGGTTAGGACTTCAGTATATTTTGGGAGAGAGAACATAATTCCACCCATAACAGAGCATTATGCTCTAACTCTGAAATATTGAGTGGAGATTTCATTTTAATAACATTACTGATTTTAATAGCTTTTATTAAACTTTCATGGTATATTTCTCTATCTTTAAAAAACTAATGCTCCTTCCCCATTACACAATAAGTTCTGAAGGTGTCATTGATCACATACTTATGCGTTTTATCTTCTTCTAAGCATAAATTCTAGAAAGGAAACAAAGATGACTGGTCCTGTAACTAGGGCTTGTTGTAAGAGAATTTCAAAAGTAGCATCTCTCAAATCACAGTTTATATGCCCCCCAAAATAAAACAGAATCACATAAGAGTTTGTGAATGATGTTTGAAACAGCAGTTGACTGCTCATATACATGGTTCCCCTTACCACAATCTCAGGGATCTTATACATAGACCAGTTTAAGTGGTGCTGGAATCCATCTCTGTAGTGAAGTGAAATAACATGGTTTATGAAATTGTATTCATATGTATTAGGTGGAGAATGACAAGTGCTCTATACAATACAATGTAACTTTGGAACAAAGTTAAAGGAATAGAATGGTATCTTCTGAGTACCAGTCTAGCAGTCTCATTTGCTAATCCCCATTGTTTTTAATAATGCTCCCAAGTAATTTTTTTTCATGCACAAATACTATCATCTCTGTTCTGTCACAGTACAGTTATTTGAGTGTCTGTCACTCGTTAGTACTCTAGAGTGGTGAATACAGCACTCTTGGGACCAGGAATGGGGAATATGAATTCCTTCTTGAAAACAAAGCCCATTGCCCTGTTCTTATGGCAAAGAAATACAGAGACATTCTTCACATTTGTTGCTTCCAACAAGTCTTGAACTCTTACCTTTAAATTTAGCTATTTGTTCTTTGTTTTCTTTTACCATTTTTGGATTAAAGCATTGACTTCTTATATTCTCGTGGCCACCTCCCTTATTTCTGCTTAAGTTTCAATTATGTAACAAGAATGAAAACTTTACTTAATTATTCTTTCTTTTCCCTTTCTTTCTTTATTTTAAAACAATACAGGGCAATCTAGAGCAGCCATGATACCTCCCAAGCATCCACGGCAGCCTAAGGGAGCTTTGGATGATGCCATTGCCTTTGGTGCGAAAACAGACCAAGAAGCACCTAATGCTTCTCAACCTACACCACCCCCACTGCCAAAGAAAATGATCATAAGAGCCAATACAGAGCCAATCTCCAAAGACCTCCAAAAATCCCTGGAAACTACTCTTTGTGTCATGGCTAATCCCACCTATGATATCGACCCCAACTGGGATGCCAGTAGTGCTGGCTCTTCAATCAGTTATGAACTCAAGGGACTGGACATTGAGTCTTATGACTCCTTGGAGAGACCTTTGCACAAGGAGAGACCTGTGCCCTCAGCAGCAAACAGCATCTCCAGCTTAACCACTCTCAGTATTAAGGATAGATTTTCCAATAGCACAGAGTCCCTGTCCAGCCGGCGTGGTCCCTCTTGTAGACAGGGCCGGAGTATCCAGAAGCCACAGAGACAAGCACTTTATCGAGGACTTGAGAATCGTGAAGAAGTGGTGGGTAAAATCCGAAGCCTTCATACAGATGCCTTGAAGAAACTGGCTATTAAATGTGAAGACCTCTTCATGGCTGGACAGAAAGACCAGCTCCGTTTTGGGGTGGACAGCTGGTCAGACTTCAGGCTAACCAGTGACAAGCCATGTTGTGAGGCAGGCGATGCAGTTTACTACACAGCTTCATATGCAAAAGATCCACTTAATAACTATGCAGTCAAGGTAAGAAAATTTTATAAATCTGATTTTAATCTTCTCTGACACAGTGTTATTGAGATGGGTCTGGTTTTATTTTATTTTTCTTCATTCCTCCAATCAGCAAAAACTTACTGAGCATCTACCTTACACCAGATATTGTGATAGAAGAGAGGTTAACTTATTATCTAGAGGAGAAAACAGGTATGTAAAGAGACAGACATAACACAGTATACTGAATGCTAAGATAGAAGTAAACAGAATACTGTGGGAGCTTAGAAGGACCTTAACCCAGACTCTCGATGCCAGAGAATTCTTCTTGAAGTAGGTAATACTTGAGCTGTGATTGTTTGCAAAGATTTCCTGTACAAATGAGGTCTGTTATGTGCCTTCCATTCTATACTTCTGTCTTTATCCTCTAGCAAATAAGAGACTCTTGTCTATCCCTACTTTCTAACTCCTCTGCTTCCTGGAGAAGTTTTTTTTTTTTTTTTTTGTCTCATCATTTAAATACAATTAAGGCACTGAATGAGGTTATATTTCAAAATTTTTGACTAAAAACTGGAAGCCAGAAATACACAGAAGGAGTTTAGCCCAAAGCAAGGAGACTTTCAAAAAGCTTTCAAACAATGCTTCCAAGGCTCAGCGGCCATGGCTCATGGGCCCAGCCGCTCCGCGGCACATGGGATCTTCCTGGACCGGGGCACAAACCCGCGTCCCCTGCATCGGCAGGTGGACTCTCAACCACTGCGCCACCAGGGAAGCCCTGGAGAAACATTTTTGTAGAGGAAGGTAACCAGTATTTGTTGATGTACCAGAAACTTTTTAGTGTTATATAATTTAATCTTCACATCGACTTCATGGGGTTAAGATCTTTTTATCCATTTGACAGGTGAGGAGAATAAAGCTTAGGGTCACACAGCTAGCAATTAGTAGAGCTAGAATTTAAACACAGATCTCTCTGACTCCATAGCCTACACTTTGTCTGTTATGTCGCATATTAACTTCTTAAATGTATATCACCCATACCAGACAACACACTTCTTTAAGAACGCTAAAACTCTTAAAATCAAGAATTCTTGAGCAATTACATTCACTGTAACAGTAAGCCGTAGGCTTCATCAATGTAATAAATAAAGCATGGTCTTTGAAGTCCAAAAGATCTGGGTTCAAATCCTGACTCTGCCACTTAGTAGCCCTGTTACAAGTTGCTATTCTAAGTCTCAGTTTCCTCAGCTTTAGAAAGGAATAATAATGATACCCATCTTATGGGGCCATTTGGCTAAAAGAGAACAAAATGCCCCGATAGGTATTCACTTCTTTCACTATCCCTTAGCTTCTTCCCTGGATTATTTTAGGAGAGCAACAACCTTTTGAGCCTCAGTTTCCTCCTCTTTCAGATGTTTACAACAATGATCCATCTACTTTGTGGGATTGAGGTTAGGATCAAGTAAGATAATGCATGTGAAAGAGTTTCTAAAAACATAAAGCTCTGTGTAAACTTAAGGTAGTGTTCTCCCTTCCCATAGTCCCTTTTTACTGATTCTGTTCACTGGTTCAAAACTAATTAACATATCTAAAGGACTTGTACATGTTAATTTGACTTAGAAAGACCACATGGTGTCCTAGTAAATTAATGGATAAAGTAAACGATTGGTCTTGCCTGTCTATCAAGACAGAATATATTTTTGCACCAGACCTTCAGCTGGCTGCTCCCTGCATTTGCAGCACCTAAGCCACTTCACTCTCTGGTGACACTCGCAGAGTGACCCTGTGCCCCAGCCCACACTTTTTAAGTTAAACTGAGGGGTAAACTGCAGAGAGAGGATCTAGATTCGAGTTAATACGTTACTGTTGAGTCTAAAAAGGAATTTTGAGATTCTGTGTAGCATTCAAGGGCTGTTACACCGGTTGGAGTTATGGGGCCTCATCTATCTTGGGCCTGTATTGCTACAAGATCGCCAGTGCAAGCAAGATGAGTACCTATTTCAGAAAGAGACATTGAACTATCTGTTGTTCAAAACAACTAAGAAGTAGGGCTTGACTAACTTTATGTATTATTGCTGTGCAATCTTGTCTCTTTCCCAAATCAATGGTTTGGTATTGATTTCTTTGCTTGTAATGATGCAAAAGCAATCTTCAAAGAACAGGTGGCAAGTGGTTATATACTGAGAGTTCTTGGCAGGTTTGGGAAAGGATGTTTTGCACTAAATGGTGACTATAAATGTCTCATTGAAGACCCTCTAGGCATTTGTAGAAGGATCCAGTTGATAGTACAACCTTAAAGGAATAAACCACTAGCATACTGTGAACCCTACCTTTGCAGAGATAAGCAAAAAAGACCAGAAGTTGGCTCACACAAACAACTTTTTACTGTTTGTCTTCTTAAAATATCCCTTTCCGTACTAATGGAATTTAGAGTAGCTTAACAGGTATGACTGTCTGTCTCTCTCTCTTTTTGTTTTAATTGAAGTATAGTTGATTTACAACGTTGTGTTAATTTCTGCTGTACAACAAGGTGACTCAGTTATACATATATATACATTCTTTTTTTGTATTCTTTTCCATTATGATTTATCCCAGGACATTGAATATAGTTCCCTGTGCTATACAGTAGGACCTTGTTGTCCATCCATTCTATATGTAATAGTTTGCATCTAGTAACCCCAAACTCCAAGCCCCTCCCTCCTTCCCCCTACCCACATCCCACACCTCACACCCCCCGCCAGCTCCACAACCACAAGTCTCTTCTCTATGTCTGTTGAAGAGACTGAAAGGTCTTTTCAAATGTTACAAAAGGAAGTTGGTGCTAGAATTTAACAATTTGAAAACCAAAGGATACTACCCCTTAAATAACAAGTCCACTGCAGTGATAGAGTACTAAGATCTTAACTTTGGGTGTTGTCTTAGCTGTAACAAAATACTAAAACTGGATGGCTTAAACAACATAAATTTATTTTCTCACAGTTCCAAATGCTGGAAAGTCCAAGATCAAGTTTCCAGCTGATTTAGTTTCTAGTCAGGGCTCTCTTTCTGCCTTGCAGGTGGCTGCCTTCTTCCTAAGTCCCCACATGGCTGAAGGGGTGGGGGCTGTCTAGTGTCTCTTCTTATAAGGACACTAATCCATATCAAGGCCCCACCCTTGTGATCTCATTTAACCCTAATTACCTCTTTGTAGGCCCTATCTCTAAATATAGTAACATTGGGGGTTAACACCGTCAACATATGAATTGGGGGGGTTCACAATTCAGTCCATAGCATTCTGCTGCTGGTCCCCCAAAATTCATGTTCTTAACACATGCAAAATATGTTCAGTCCATCCCAACAGCCCCAAAGGTCTTAACTCATTCTAGCATCAACTCTGAAGTCTAAAGTCCAAAGTTTCATCTAAATATTATCTAAATGAGGTATGTGTGAAATTCAAGGTCTGTTAAATCCTGAGACAAATTTCCTTTCCAACTGTAAACCTATGAAACTAGTCAAGTTATGTGCTTCCAAAATACAGTGGCGGACAAGGATAGGACACACAATCCCATTCTAAAAGGGAGAAATCAGAAGGAAGGAAAGGATGATGGGTCCCAAGCAAGTCCAAAACCTTGCAAGGCAAATTCTGTTCGATATTAAGGCTCAAGAATAATCCTCTTTGACTCAGTACTCTGCCCTCCAGGCGCACTGAGATAATAGCATCACGGGCTGTGGCTCTGCTGGGCACCTTGATCCTTTGGCTCTTTGTAGGGGCCCCGCCCACATGACTCTCTGCCAGGGCAGCCTACCCCTGAGGCACTGAGCAGGTTCCTCCCGGCCTTCCCAATCTGTGAGTAGGTTGAGAGTTTTCTAAATCTTCAAGCCCTGGTTCGTTTTTGCTTAACAATTCCTTCTTCAGTTCTTTCTCCCTTTGCACTTCACTATAAGCAGTCAAGAGGAAACAAGTCCTCCCTTTAACCCTTTATTTAGAAGTCTCTCAGCTAAATGTCCAATTTCATTGCTCACTAGTTCTACCTTTCGCAAAATACTGCAACACCGTTTAGCCAGGTTCTTTGCCATTTTATTAGAAATCTCACCTTTTTTTCTATTTTCTAATGATATGTTCCTCGTTTCCGAGACCTCACCAGAATCACCCTTAATGTCCATATTTCTAGCAACAGTCTGTTTGTAAGTATCTAGGCTTTTTTTTATTATGAATCTTAAAACTCTTCCAGCTTCTACCCAATTCCAAACCCACTTCTACATTTTTGTGTATTGGTTACAGCAGTGCCCCACTTCTCAGTAACAAGGTCTTAGTCTGCTTGGGCTGCCATAACAAAATACCATAGACTGGATGGCTTTAGGAACAACAGAAATTTATTTTCTCCCAGTTCTGGAAACTGGAAAGGAGGATTCTATTCCTGGCTTATAGACAGCCACCTTCTTTCTGTGTCCTTATGTCAGGGCTTGGGAGGGTGGGGGAGAGAATATGTCACATTGGGGGTTGGGACTTTAATATATGAATCTTGGGAAGACACAGTTCAGTTCATAGCTTTATTCTGTTTTTCATTCAGTGTGATATCTGAATTGTATCGGTCTTCAACTAAAAGTAGTCAGCTGACATGAGTCCAAATTCTGAATCTATCATTGTGTATTCCCAAACAAGTCATGTAATCTCCCTTGATTTTCACTGCCCTTCCTACCTCATAAGATTGTTATATGTGTATGTGTTTATGTAGTGAAACTGCTTTTGTAAACTATGAAGTATATATATAATATAATAAAACTGCATTATTGTTGTTAACAATAATGGAAAATTACTTCTCAACATTCTTTTGTCACTCTCTATTATTCTTCATTAATATTAGGCACTAGCCTGAGCATATTTTTAATAGGCTCTGCACTTAGATATTTTCTTTCTCATTCCTTCAAAGTCATAAACATCTTTCCTTAAAATTATGAGGGAAAGCTACTAATGTTACAATCCCTCAGAATTTTAGCACTGCCAAAAATTGGAAACAAAGTGCCTGATATTAAGGAAACAATGTAATAAATTATGGTAT